GCATTGACGGGGATGAAATGCCATGCATTGTCATCTCTTGTTCTAAGACAATGTCCTTTTGGTTAGATTATCCATCAGCATTATTCGTAATGGTGAGACTGTTCGCGGCCATGCTCGCTCGGTCTCGGCCAGTTGGCGCTTGCTCACGCTCCAGCTCCGGTCGATGTCTACTGTAACTTTGCAACTTCTAGACGACCTGGAGACTGAGCCCTAGACGTTCACAAAGCCATATCGAGTAGAGTGAAGCAATCGCCAAGTGCGGGCGCGTTGCACAGCACTCTCGGTGGTCTCCTTCACCTGGGCTGAACTCGCTCGGCTGCCCACGGTGAGCCAGTTCTTCTCAGGCTCCTCTCCCGTTAGCTGTTCTTCTATCTCTAGGCAGTCTCTAGCTTGTTCTCATGTGGCGTCTTCACGGAAGTCTCAAGTGTGGCCTTCAGTACACTTAGTCTTAGTTTGTTCTTACACTCCGTCATGGTCGCTCTGCTTCGCTTGCATCGTCTGTGGGCTCGGTCTACCTTTGCAATTGGCTCTTACGGCGACTAGCAACGAGCTTCGCTCTGGTGTCTTGTGCTTCTTGGATCACGGCTTCGACTTAGACGAGGTACTAAACTCCTCGGCCTGGCTCGCCAAGAAGTGCCAAACAAATTGTGGGCAAAGTAATCCCTGATGCCTGGTCGGGATCCCGTATTTGCGAGGACTCCTGTTCTCCTACTCCTTCCTTATACGACCTCAGCTCTTCCTGATGTGGCCCATTGCATCACGTCTTCTGTCGGCTTTCCCTTCCTGTCACTTTCCAAATCTTGTTTTGTGTCCTTACATAAAGCTGGTCCTCGACCATATCTTTTCCTTCCAGTTTCCAGCTCCTGAATCAAAGGTATATGCTCTCCAAACCTCATTATATGCGTGCAGGCACATCATTCCTCATCCCTCTCATCCAGATAGATTGCGCATCACACCACGACAAGCGGTAACGACAATGAGTTTGACCGCAGCTCTCAAGGAGAAGGTCACCGCCGTAGCGGAGACGAAGAAGATTGCGGACCTGCAGAGGGACATCATCAAGCAGGAGAATTACCTGACCAGCGACCTCGGGGTCAAGGTGTCGGACACTGATAATTGGTGGATAGCTTCCGCGTCGCTTCACGTTGCCGCTTTCTGACTGCGTTTCGCCAGGCTCAAAGTCTCGGATGGGAAGACATCTGGTCCGTCGCTACTCGAGGACCACATTGCACGCGAGAAAATCCACCGCTTCGACCACGAGCGCATTCCAGGTACGTCAGTCGGCAACCCCAGCACCATACGCATTACTGACCGGCGACGCAGAGCGCGTGGTCCATGCACGTGGTGCTGGCGCACACGGCTATTTCAAGGTCCACAATGATGTCGCGAAGAAGTATACCTTCGCTCCCGTCTTAACCGACCCCTCGCGCACTACTCCCACCTTCGTCCGCTTCAGCACCGTGCAGGGCTCAAGGGGGAGTGCTGTGAGTATTCTTGCGTCTCTGCTGTTTTCCGTATGCTCTAATTCAAATGTTTCTCAGGACACCGTCAGAGACGTTAGAGGCTTCGCCGTCAAGTTCTATACTGAAGAGGGCAACTGGGACATTGTCGGTAACGACAGTCAGTAAAAACCCTTTCTAATCCATCTAGATCGTTGCTAATCCTCAACGTAGTTCCTGTCTTTTTCATTCAAGATGCCATGAAGTTCCCTGATATTGTTCACGCCGTCAAACCTGAGCCTCACAACGAAGTTCCGACTGGACAGAGCGCCCACAACAACTTCTGGGACTTTGCTGGCTTGCAACCCGAATCTGCTCACATGATCATGTGGGTCATGTCCGACCGTGGCATCCCTCGTTCGTACAGGATGATGCAGGGCTTTGGTGTCAACACCTATACTCTTATTAACGAAAAGGGTGAACGCTTCTTCGTCAAGTTCCACTGGCTACCGGAGCTTGGTGTTCACAGTTTCGTTTGGGATGAGGCGTTGAAGATCTGCGGCCAGGACCCTGGTAGGTCGCTCTCGTGAACAACACGCATCACCTGCTCATCATCTCTCTTAGACTTCCACCGCAAGGACCTCGAGGAGGCGATTACCAACGGTGCCTTCCCCAAGTGGCACTTCGGGATCCAAGCCATCCCTGAGGCACGTGAGCACGACTTCGACTTCGACATCCTTGACGCAACCAAGGTCTGGCCAGAGGAGCTTGTGCCTCTCGAGATCGTTGGAGAGATGGTTCTCAATCGCACCGTCGACGAATACTTCCCAGAGGTCGAGCAGGTTGCCTTCTGCACATCCCACGTTGTCCCTGGCATCGGCTTCAGCGACGACCCCCTTCTGCAAGGCCGCAACTTCTCTTATTTCGACACCCAGGTCTCTCGACTCGGCATCAACTGGCAAGAACTGCCGATCAACAGGCCAGTTTGCCCCGTCATGAACTACCAGCGGGATGGCAAGATGAGGCACAAGATCCATCAGGGCACCATCAACTACTGGCCTAACCGCGCCGAACAGTTCAGGCCTGTATCTCCCAAAGATGGTGGTTATGCCGAGTACGTCTAGACATGTCGCTCAGACGGATCCTATGGGTATCTAACTAAACTCTAATCCCCAGGTATCCTGAAGGGGTCGCCGGCATGAAGGCTCGCATGCGCGGCGAAAAGTTTAAGGAGCATTTCAACCATGCGCAGCTGTTCTACAATTCACTCGCCGAGTATGAGAGACAGCATCTCATCAACGCGATTTCGTTCGAGCTTTCGCACTGCGACGACCCAGTAGTTTATGAATCGTACATCAAGGTGCTCCACAACGTCGACCTCAACCTCGCAAAACAGGTCAAGATTAACGTCGGCGGCTCTGATGTCGACTCTAAGGAGCCCGCGCGCGATAATCATGGAAAATCGACGCCGACATTGTCGCAGCTGTATTACGCACCAAAGGAGCCTACTATCAAGTCACGCCGCATCGCGATCCTTGTCGCCGACGGCTTCGACCTCGCACAAGTTGAGGGTCTACGCGCCGCCATCAAAGCGGGTATGGCGACCTCCTGGATCATTGGCCCTCGCCGCGGCTGGATATATCCCGAAGATGTCGATGTTGGCTCCAAGATGCGCGGCGTGTGGGCAGATCATCACTTCGAGGGACAACGCAGCACGCTGTTCGACGCGTTCATCGTTCCTGATGGACGCAAGAGTGCTGAGACGCTTGCTGAGAATGGTCGTACCATTCACTGGATCCGGGAGGCGTTTGGCCATTGCAAGGCTATTGGTGCTATTGGCGAAGGTACGCATCCGCATCAGCTTTCGATGGTCTAGTGTGCTTACTTGCTCACCAGGTGTCTCCTTTTTACGCGAGGCCGTCATGCTCCCAGGTATCGAGTACAATACGAAATTGGACAGCGACGAAGTTGTCACCTCGTTCGGCGTCGTCACCGTCGGCAAAGTCAGCACCTCTACACTCGCTGCGGACACCCTCAAAATTGCCGAAGGCGAGAAGAACTTCGTGTCCACGTTTGCGTACGAGGTCAGCAAGCACCGGTGCTACGAGCGCGAGCTCAAGGGCTTAACCAAGAAGGTTGCGTATTGAGTAGTAATTTTGGGGACGGACTTCGTGTATTTTTAAGACTTTCAAGAACCATGTTGTGAGAGGCCATATCTTTTGTGTCATTGTGTATTTGTAATATAATGACAGCAAAGGAACAGAAAGCGTTGGTACAACAGCTGTTGGACCGTGTGAAGAGGTCTGTGACTTGCCAATTGTTGACAATATCGGCAGGTCATGGATGCATGGCCGTCCTCATCCCATTAAACAAGCGCCAAGCTCAGACCGTCCCGGCAGACTTTCCCAAATCGATCAATCTTATATAGTGTTTATTGTGG